CAAAATAATATACCTTTATGAAAATCAAATTATAAAAACGTCGCCAGTAAACAAAAACTGATTAAAAGTATGTGATAATTTAATATCATACTATTTATGTATCCATAAAACTTTGGTTTAAATTTAATTTAATCTTAAGTCGTATTTTCAAATAGGCCACTGAATAGTGGAATTGTTGTGTTTACTTATGGAAGCGATCAGTAATCCCAAGTATTCATGATATGATTCAATGAATTATTTTATATTTTTCCACATTAAAAATTGTATGACTTCACCCTGTCGGATACTACGATAGAAGAACATTCTAAGCTTGGAAAATCCGATTACAAGATTTAGTTATAGTTCCTTAGAATGTATTTTGTTGTATTTTAAGGTATATACATCATACTTCATATTAATTAAATTTTGAGTTTATTCTTTTTCTTTTAATTATTATTTCTAGCAAAAACTTATTAAACCAAAAGTAAAAAATAAATAAATCCATATATTAGTGATCTTAACCGCATATTTTGATAGTTTTTAATGCATGAAATTCCTATCCCTAATTAATAATAATTGTACACGATTACTTTAGACTTTTTAATTATTGATCAATTTTTAACTATTACCTATATTGGCGAACCGCTCACCTAACACACTAGCATTACACACAATATCATGTGCGCCTGCATGTATTAAATTTCGGTGTATAGGTACTTTAAGTACCTACAGTATACACGCTCGGCATTTTCCAAAATTCCAAACTTCATGCGGGGTCGAGACTACTTTTGGACAGTGCATAGTGTACATAAAGAGATAATAATTGTATATTATCATTTAACACTGTAACTATTTATTTTATAGCAATATAAATTATGATTGATGATAAATTAGAAGTTTGTGAATGCCCATTGCCCATGATGTATACATTTTTAAAAGTTGACATATACCCATAATAGACGAATTTTCTTTAAGGTATACTCGTAAATCCTAAAATAGGGATTAGGGTATATGTCGAATACCTGTGTATACACTACAATTCACCACTGAGAATACATCTATAAACTAAAAATAATTTATTTTAAATACCTTTATAGTAATCAACACTGAATGCATTGCTTTTGATATTAACAAATGGGCTAAAAACTCCTTCTTGTTCTCCCATTTTACTCAGAACTTCACGCATAATTTTAGCATGCTCTTCCAATGACTCAGCTTCTTCGTCCATTATAAATGTAAACATGCTTTTAAATTTTCTCCAGAGATCAAATGGGAACTTTTTGTCAACAACTGCGACATCTACTTCCATTTTTTCCATAGCAAATTATTTCTAAAAAATTAAATAATCAATGGTGTCTCAGTAGCTCATGAGAATATGTTACACATATATTTGTATTTAAATGGGTCGATATAAATTTACTTGATTATTTGTTGCTGTAGAAAACGAGAAACTAATTATCACGAAATTGCTCCATCAAGTGTAGGATGTCAGAGTGCCCATTCTATTAAATGTATTTCATGTTTATGATTAACTTGTATTTTGTAAATATTTGATAGTTATTAAGCAAAAAGTTACTTTTAATATTTTACTATTATGAAGTAGGAAGAACATACACCACTTGAACAGATAAATAAATATTTTATAATGCAATATAATATACCTATGTATATTGAAAATGATTAACTAGCGAAGATCAAAAGATCAGAGACACTTACTATTACAACATTTACAACTTGCAGACTTGCCGGCTTAATATCCAAAAGCACAAAGTAACGACAACTGCCTGACAAGATGTTAAATGAAAAATGAAAATGTCATGTAAAAATGATAAGCTTTCTAGCAAAAACGCATAAAATCAAATCCCGCCAAAAATTATTGTTATCTACGTCCGTCAAGATGATAATATTATTTATATTTGGATATTTGGATTCTAATTTCTATGTAAAACGGACGTGACGTACCAGCTAGAACCCCGTCACTTAAATCATAGGATATTAATATTCTATGCTTAAATCCCCGGGATCAAAATGTCACTAGGGTAGTAGGGTATCTAGTTGTCAGGGTATCTAGCTACGGTTGAAGTATTGGAAATTGTACCGTATCCGTAATCTGGTAGAACGTTAGCAACGTGTATCCCTCTTAGTTACGGAATTATAAAAACGGAAACAACCAAACAACGCAATGGACATTACAAAACACTCCTGACTGGTGAACGGCCACCTAGATCCCCGTCCAAATAGATCCCCATGATCTAAATGACACTAATAGCGTTTTCGATTTGACAATAAAAGTGTGCACTGWAATTGAACTGACACTACACTAGTGCACGGTGCACTATGCACTCATTCATTCAAATCAAATACGAAAAGATATGATTACATGTTTAATCATGGATGGATAAATCATCATGGATGAAATACATGTCATAACCATTTTTAACCATGATAAATAATATTTTACCGCCAATTTGTTCGAAACAAAGTTGTAGCCTGTAGGTAGGACGTATTATGTCACA